CAGGAAAATCGTATTTATAAACGTGAAATAGCTTAAAACACCTTCAATAAACCATTGACAATTAGAAGAATTTTATTGTAGGCTCGACCCTTCTTTAAGCCAACAATAACTTGATTTTTAACAATTTTTTTTCTCAGATAAAGATTTTTCCGGTAATTTTAGGTTGATTGCGAAAAGTAATTATGGTTTCTTTTAAAATAAAATCTAAAAATTCTAATTTTAACGTTTACAAATTTGTAAATAAAATCCCAGAAAATTTTTAAACGATTATATTTTGAGGAAAAAACTCAAATCTAGGCATTATTGGATTAATGCATGAATATTTGACAATATTCCAATTGTCCAGCACTATTTTTAGGCAATTTGGAAATGCCCGTCTGTCAACCAAATGATGGACAAAATCATTTGATTTGGCTTTTTTCAAAGTTTGTTGGTTAAATATAATGCCATAAAGTAATTAACCATGTAAATTATATTGATTAGTGTTATACTAATGCAAAATATATTCGCCGGCATTAAAATTTGTCAAATATCAAAGAAATTTATCAATATTTGCAAAAATTTATCAAAAATTACAAGGAAAATAAGTAAAAATAAGAAAATGTGTCATAGTGATGTATATTTTGTCGCAAAATATCCGTTATTCGGATACTTTTAATAATAATTAAAAATCATATGTTATATTTATACATCTGAACTATATAGACATTTATTAAAGCCATATATATATTTATTTTTCTTAAAAGTTTGTTTTTATTGTCAAAAATCTATTATAAACAAAATATGAATTAAGAAAACCGAATCAACGAATATTTTTTCCTAATTGTACGCAACACTAACACATAAAATGACAGCCATATTGTACAGTGCTGCCAACTTAAACATAAATCAGCACAATTTTATTAATGGTTTTTAATGCTAAAGTGTGCTTTAACTATTGAGTACATTAAAAGCAAAATAAGATTTTTTTATAAATACAAGCGTTAATGTTTAACAAGGATTATAATCAATTAATATAAATAATTAATATTAAATCCATCTGTATTGAAATGCCAAAAATCTAAAATTTTTCGGAAAAAATTTCTGATATGGACATCAAAATTTTATATCTTTCTTTAGGAAGGAATATTTAAAAACTCATGAAAACCTCAAAAAGAGAGAAACTGAGAAACTGTATCTAATAATCAATTAAACTTTAATTTTTGTGGGGAACATTAACACCTTATTTTTCTTTAATATACATGCATACATGTATATACATACATATTCTCCTTCAGTCAGTTATTCTACTGCTCTACCGCCGAAAACAACAACAGTAACTACAAGTATAAGAACTGCAAAAGTACATATTAAAATATGTGAATATTTATTCCACTTAAACGAGCATTGTTACAAATAATTTAGCTTTATTCAAAGTAGAGTAAATTTTAACGCATACTATTTTTACCCACTCACAGAAAAAGTGCTTAGGGGTAGGTAGCTCTTTTCGCAAAAAACATACGTACATACTTTTTTTTAATTTTTGTTTCTCGAAGTGTTTTTAAATATAAAACTATTCGTTTGTTTGGGTTTGTTTCTGCACAAGAACATTTCGCTCATTTATTTCAATAGTGTACTAACAAAAAAATATTACATTGAAAATGTAGTTTCAGAAAAACTACTTTAAATTTTACATACATATGTATGTATGTATGTATGTATGTACATATGGAGTTTGAAAATAAAACAAGATACATATTTATTTATGTATAATATGTATAAGTAACACAAATGATTATCACTTTGAAAATAGATTTTGATAAAAACGTTTCGTAATACTCAATCAAATCTAAACCTAAATTCTGAATTAGGACATTATTGAATTAAATGAGCGATTTCTCGTTAGCATTTTTAATTTTCCCTAAAGTTTGCTTCACATTTTATTTAATAAAAGCAGCACTGTTTCTACTTTAATTCTTTACACAAAAATGGTTACAAATAATTATGTTTCCTTTAATATGAAAAAAGTATATATATTTGGGGAGAAAATGTCATTGTGAAAAAATTGGTCTTTTAAAGATGTTTAGTGTTCCAATTTAAGAGGAGCTATTTAAGTTACAAAATTGTACACAAGTGTGGCTTGCGTCTACCTTTTCAGAACAGCTTTACATATTTTTACTTCCGCCTTAATGCCGAATGTTGTGCTAAACTGATATTGCATATTTCAATGGTATTCGCTTAAAATGTAACTGCTTTTATTGTAGATTTAACTATTAAAAGTTAATTATGTACATATTTGAGTTCGTTGATGTCCTTTATGGCAAATATTTGTTTATTTTTGTTATTTTTATACCCTACACCACTGAAGGGCCCGTCTGTATGTCCATGTAAACTGTGCGCACGTTACAGGTGACTATTTTTAAGAAATTCTTCCATTGACCCAAGGACGAAGCCTATAGAAAATTGTTGAAAAATCGATCCATTATTTCAGAAAACCGCCTTTTTTTGTCAATAAATTGTTTATTTCGAAATTAACGTAAAAACAATTATAATGCTTCATTATTTTTAATATACTCACTGGTAGGGTATATATGGTCGGCTACGATTATATACATTCTTACCTTTTTTTGACATTTAAGTAATAGGGAGCAAAAATGAAATTCAATTAACCCAAATGTATATTTTGTGTTTGCATTCATTTTTTTCATCTTTTCAACTATTTGTACATATATAAATACGAATACATATATATTTGCGAATTCTGCAATATTCAGCAAAGTTTTCAAAATTTAATTTTCGAGACTTATGAAGTTTTAAGAGGGATTACGTAATATTGGCATTTTAATTATGCCAATGTAAATATTCTATTCTATATTCATTAAATAATAGAATTATTTTAATCAATATCCGGATTCTATTTTTCATATTTTGTACATAATACATATGTACGTATATTGGCATTTTAATTATGCCAATGTAAATATTCTATTCTATATTCATTAAATAATAGAATTATTGTAATCAATATCCGGATTCTATTTTTCATATTTGTACATAATACTATATGTATGTTATGTATGTATGTATGTATGTATGTATGTATGTATGTATGTATGTATGTATGTATTGTATTATGTATGTATGTATGTTTTAGTCTGTATGTATGTATGTCTGTCTGTATGTCTGTATGTAGTCTGTATGTATGTATGTCTGTATGTCTGTCTGTCTGTATGTATGTATTTATGTGTATGTCTGTATGTCTGTATGTATGTATGTCTGTATGTCTGTATGTATTTCTGTCTGTATGTATGTCTGTCTATGTCTGTCTGTCTGTCTGTCTGTCTGTCTGTCTGTTGTCTGTCTGTCTGTCTGTCTGTCTGTCTGTCTTTGTCTGTCTGTCTGTCTGTCTGTCTGTCTTTGTCTGTTTCTGTCTGTCTGTCTGTCTGTCTGTCTGTCTGTCTGTCTGTCTGTCTGTCTGTCTGTCTGTCTGTCTGTCTGTCTGTCTGTCTGTCTGTCTGTCTGTCTGTCTGTCTGTCTGTCTGTCTGTCTGTCTGTCTGTCTGTCTTCTGTCTGTCTGTCTGTCTGTCTGTCTGTCTGTCTGTCGTCTGTCTGTCTGTCTGTCTGTCTGTCTGTCTGTTCTGTCTGTCTGTCTGTCTGTCTGTCTGTCTGTCTGTCTGTCTGTCTGTCTGTCTGTCTGTCTGTCTGTCTGTCTGTCTGTCTGTCTGTCTGTCTGTCTGTCTGTCTGTCTGTCTGTCTGTCTGTCTGTCTGTCTGTCTGTCTGTCTGTCTGTCTGTCTGTCTGTCTGTCTGTCTGTCTGTCTGTCTGTCTGTCTGTCTGTCTGTCTGTCTGTCTGTCTGTCTTCTGTCGTCTGTCTGTCTGTCTGTCTGTCTGTCTGTCTGTCTGTCTGTCTGTCTGTCTGTCTGTCTGTCTGTCTGTCTGTCTGTCTGTCTGTCTGTCTGTCTGTCTGTCTGTCTGTCTGTCTGTCTGTCTGTCTGTCTGTCTGTCTGTCTGTCTGTCTGTCTGTCTGTCTGTCTGTCTGTCTGTCTGTCGTCTGTCTGTCTGTCTGTCTGTCTGTCTGTCTGTCTGTCTGTCTTCTGTCTGTCTGTCTGTCTGTCTGTCTGTCTGTCTGTCTGTCCTGTCTTCTTTGTCTGTCTGTCTGTCTGTCTGTCTGTCTGTCTGTCTGTCTGTCTGTCTTCTGTCTTCTGTCTGTCTGTCTGTCTGTTCTGTCTGTCTGTCTGTCTGTCTTCTCTGTCTCTGTTATTTTCGGACTTAAGTCAATTAGGAATCGAATATATATATATACATATTTGTCACATTTTTAAACCATATATGGGCGGTAGGAAAATGAACATATCGATACCCTATATTCAAAAAGTGCTAAATCAATAAAGTCTAGTTTTCAGGAAAGCAATAAAACTATTTAATTCTTACCTATAAAAAAATTTTAATATTTTCCACATTTTAACGACTTATTTAAGATAGCACTCCAATAAGATGCATTTACATATTACACCATTTAAGAAGAAAAACTCATGGCATATCTGCTTGTTTACTATTTCTTATTCTCAGTACAAATATTTTAAATTATGAAAAGTTTTTGAATATAAAAAGTACCAATATTTTTTGAATAATACTCCATAATTTGCACATTTAAAGACTTTTTTATAATAAAATTCTAAATTGCAACCATAGAATATTATAGATCTTAATGTTATAAACGATTTCTGAAATAACTTTACATTTTTCGGAAAAACAGTCTAAAACTGGCTTTATATACAAATATATAAATGATCATATCTTAAAATCTATACATTAAATTTATTAATCTTCACCTGTTTTGTGTTCAGCATGTTCACCTTGTTAATATACAAAATAAATTTGAAGTTTTAAAAAATTTTGTAAAATTTGTATGGAAGTTAGCACTTATTTTCTTCAATAAAAATTTAACTTTGAGATAGCATATTAACAAAAATTGTTGTTAAAAGTGCAAAAATTACTTTTTGGTTTCAAATTTATACCAGAGGTGGATCATGCATTGAGGAATCCTTTTGCATCATGAGCGTAAAAGTTCTGAAAGGTCTATGGGGGAAAA